ATCAGCTAAGGACCGACCCATAAAATACTAGTTTAGAGCAATTCGAGGCGACTTCTCGGTTAGTTCTTCAGAAATAGCGGTAGCAAACTTTAACTGGCCACTGGAGACAATGTGTCTCTTACATTTCAAGCAGATCCCTTCAGTATTGTTCTTCGGATACAGAGGAAACAATGGTGAAATGTCAGCTCACACAATGATGACCCATATCAAATCATACAGTTTCAAGACGATTCCTTCTTCAGAATTAGCAGTAGCAAACTGTAAACTATCAAAATACAACAAGGCTGCTTGTGGTCATCTTAAAAATCAGATGAAATTCATAATTCAACTAAAATCATACTGTACATGTCCATAATTCAGATAGAGTGGTATTGGTTAAATATTAAAATTCAAGGTGACCGCTTGCAGCCATCTTAAAAATCTGATGAAACACAAAATTCACGAACTACTACTGAACATTATTATGTTCATCATGTTCCGAGGAGATCGCTGGATAAGTTTCACAAGAAAAGCGATGAAAGTAATTACATAAGTTACGGACTGTCGGACTAATGGACCGTGGACAAAAACTGATTTGAAAAGACTGCTTTTTGATAAAGCCTACCGTCTATCAGGTGGTCGGCTAAACAGATATGAAGCTCCGGAATGTCGTTATCGGACACTTTGGATAGAAATTATTCTCGGTAATAAATCCCTATTACAGTGCAAAAATACAGACCCTAAATCCATTTATCACTTTTCAGAGTTGGTTACGTTTGTGTGAATATTGGGGTCCTCGAAGGGTTATGTTTGTGTGAGTATTGGGGTCCTCGAAGGGTTATGTTTGTGTGAGTATTGGGGTCCTCGAAGGGTTACGTTTGTGTGAGTATTGGGGTCCTCGAAGGGTTATGTTTGTGTGAGTATTGGGGTCCTCGAAGGGTTATGTTTGTGTGAGTATTGGGGTCCTCGAAGGGTTACGTTTGTGTGAGTATTGGGGTCCTCGAAGGGTTACGTTTGTGTGAGTATTGGGGTCCTCGAAGGGTTACGTTTGTGTGAGTATTGGGGTCCTGGTAGGGTTACGCTTGTGTGAATACTGAGGCTCTTATAGAATTAGGTTTATATGAATACCAGGGCCCTAGTAGCGTTACTCTTACGTATTTCTGTTCTGGTTGGAGCTTGTAAGGGATTAAAAAATCTAAAAACAAAAAAACACGGGCTTATTGTGAACATTTCTCTGCTCGGGTAGGAACTTATAAGGGAATAAAAAAAACCCAAAAACACGGGCATATTGTAAACATTTCACATGTAGGTATTGATTACACTGTCATTAAAGTTTCCTATAGCTGTCTGTTTAGTAATATCAAAATGATTTATCTTTCGACGTTGTGTCCAGGTCATTGTTACCTATTGAACTCGCCGGGCTTTTACTTGGTTAGAGAAATTATGTGCGTCGTAGAAATTAGAACAAGCGTGATCCACTCGCCCATACCTGTGTTCTAGGTATCACTTTTCATTGTCTGTGATCATATTTTAATAAAATACAAAATTCAGCATGTCATTCATCAAATCAGAACATTTCTTAGCGCTACAATATTTTTTAATGTCTGTTCCAGCATCCTAACTTTAACAATGTCGTATTTTAGATTTTCTCATCCAAGGTATCGTGTTGTACAGTTATATGATCAGTCTTAGAGCAAATTATTGAGCCGTATTGATCACCATTTGTTTAAATCATCAATTAAAATTAAAACTGTTAAAAAGGCTAAAATGTCACAGGTCCAAAAAGAAATACTCAGATAAACATGTTATTTACTTATTAATAACAAAAATAACTTAACTAAATATTTAGAAAATTTCTTCACATTTACTTCAACATCCGTGCGGTATTGTGTTATCGTCACAATAACGTCATTTCCTGCTCAAAGCCGCTGAACAAATCTGTCAGCAACTAGATTTATCAGAAATATAAACCTATTGTGGGAGAAACGGACAGACTGGTGCCCTAGATCATGTGACCAGGGTCACTACTCGGGGCTTCTAGTACACTTGGAAGAGGGGTCCAATATTTATATCGTTTACATGAATCACTCAATGTAACAGCGGCTGAAGTAAACATATCCTGAACACAGCGCTGTCTGTGTACAGAGTGTTGTTTGATACTTTTACAGTAAAGCCTCGTTAACTTCAAAGCTATACACTCTAGTTTTGGGTATTGTGAAATATGTTTGTTGTTAGCTAATATGTATACATTCTGAAACCTTATAAAATACATAGCATTACCCGAATGTACATTATACATGTATGTCGGACGAAGCGGTAATGGCCGCAGTGACAATTGTTGTAATTTGCCTGGTTATACAGGACATCTCAGTTGCATTCGAAATTTATTTCACATCCCACTTTAATAGTCAAGTGCACACACATTTGTAGTATACTTATATAAATATGTAGGGGATATTGAGTAATTCCAGTAAAATCTTCTAAATTGACAATTAATTATATACCATGACTATTTAGATCGCATAGTGAACGAATAGTAACTGTTTTCTCACACTTTTGCCATTATCTGTGCACAGCTCATATTTCAGCAGTTTGTCTACACCACCTAAAACCGCCCATGTACCACTTGGCTCGTCATCATGTAGTTGACCCGTGTACTGGACATAGGTAATAATTGCTACACGCCCCAGGGCAGTTAACTTTCACATCTCGGCGGCAGGCTTTGTGTATTCCCCGCTCCCCATAGCTCCTACCAGAAATGACCTGACAACGAATGACCAATTATAGATTTACTATTAAAGAAGGTGTTACTTGTGGTTATTTCCAAAAGTCATTACTGCCTCATTGCTACACAAGTCAACCACGAGTTATCAAGCGTTACCCTTTCCTTCCCAATCATGATCAACATAACAGGATCAAACAGAGACATTTAGATATCAGGTTCAAAATTAAAAACGGGCATTTTGCTGTATATTACAGAGGGTAGTGGATGTTTTTCTGGTGTTAGCTTTTGTGTTTGTTCATTGGGCCGTAAATGCCTTCAATTTGTTAGTTACTTTTGAACTGTTCATTACAAAGTATATGCTGTCTTTGCACTGACCGGCTTGACCAGAGCCTATTTGCGTAACAAAAACAATACTTATAAATTAGGATGACGAATAAAAAAAATTGCATTGGTCAATCGGAATATTATTGAGAATTTTTAGTGCCACGGATTTACAAGTTACTTTCTACGATATAAGGTCATATTTCAATAGCGAATAGCTCATACACGCTCTTTGCTTTTAAAAAATCTAACGTAACAGAAAGTATTTGTCACATAAGTTAGCGTGATTTGAAAATTGAGATCTCTGCTATACTGTTTGTTTTGAAAAGATTAATGAGGAACAATTTGGAGAAAAATGTATATAAACACAGCAACGCTAATTAACTCTAATTGATACAGTATTTCAATTAGGTATATACCATGATAAAATCACCGTACAGAAAATATCAATGTATACGTTATAATTAGCACGTTTCGAGATAAGCCATATAATCAGATATCAAAACAGATTCAAACATGCATATTCTAGCATTTGAAACAACTAGGAAAAGTAGAAAAACAGTCTCAAATCCCTTATTATCCGTTTCTGAATTTACGTGACATAGTTGATTTTCAAGACCTAGGCTATGGGCAGTGAACATAATTTTTTTTAATCAACTACAGTTGTAAGTGAACATCTGGCACTTTCACAAAATTATTATTAGTGACCCTGTCACTACATACATCCCCAGTTAGAAGAAGACCTGCTGCTAGCTTTATAATCAAGTTAGCAGACGATTTTGTAAAAGTGCAGTAATATAAAATAGTTCAGATAGTACATCTTATTGTATGTTATTTGTGAAACATACTTGCAAATGACTTAAAAAGACACTCAATTTTTTCAGGTTGCACTAAATAGAAAATTTCAAAAGAGGAGACCCGATCCCAGTAGGATTGGTGAATCCCCTTATTCAAGTAATAGATACATAATGGGCACGCGTAATATATCACACGAGTCCGAAGGACGAATGTGATATATCCGACACATTACGAGTGTCTATTATGTATCTGTTTTATCCAATGACCACCGAGGTTTTCTCATCCTCGTGCCAAGGGGCGGAGCTAGAACCTATTAGGAGCCGATTAGTGTCATGTGTCAAGTCGATGATTTTCCCGCGATTTTCTTACCCATCCCATTTTCTGTCACAGGAATATTTCATTTCATTAGTAGATGTCAGAGATGTCGGAGCTGGACAACGTATGGAAAAACTTTAGAAACATCAACGCCGGTGAACTGTTCGAATGTGTTAACTAACGTCAAAACGACGAATATCAATTTAACAAAATCTCTCGGTTTTTTTTTACGTATAATAGATTTGTTCGAAATCTTTCCTATGTCTTTGTTTATCTGTCTCGCCCACTTGGAAATGGACAAATAAGAGAGAACCATGCGATATTTTAGGTATCATTTTAGATATCACATGACATTTTGCATGACTCAAATCAGTATGATACTCTTTTTTTCCACATTTTTTGGTATCGCCTAAAAAAGAGTATCGTGACACGAAAAGAAACTTCATACTGATTGGAGTCCTGCAACAGTGTACCATGGTACAGAAAGATGTAAAAACACACCTCTTCGCGGCCGATTCGATTGTGGGTACATGTACACTATGAAAGTAAAGATTGTTTTGTGAAGATTTTTATAACTTCCATGTACCATAAAGATTAATTTTTTTATAGATGTGTAACATGGTACACTAATTATCTTTTTATCATGCTCTTGTCAGCCATCGTACTTATAGCACAACCCCGACGATCTGTCTTAAACCCCATGGGTCATTTTCAACACAAGCTAACCCCTATCTTCTCCGGCCACCATATACACATTGTAGGCCACCAGCTTAAAACTGTTAAATAACAACACAAACCATGTCCAAGGCTGGTGATGATAATTTAATAGTGTAACAATATATATATCATTTCATATTTTTCAACATATAATTTATTTTTCTGTCACAAATCAGATACATGCATGTTTAACACCTTACATGTACCACCATATCAGTCATCAATTAAGTAAATTCTATTTTGTATCTCTCGCTCCAATTCATCATTTTCATTTGCTTCAAAATCTCTTTTACAAACCAACTATTCTTTCTCCTCTGGAGCCACATAAACCATTCACATTATACTGTTGGTAATTTGTTAGAATGTTCAAATGGCTATTTTCTTTCGAAACAGTGTAAGAAAACCTGTGTCGCTCATCGATATCACAACAAAGTACTTGTTTATTTAGTCCTCACAACTGACCTCACAGATTAGCCATTACTCGGATAAATAACTTTCCATGATAGTCCGTGTCAAAAATGGGCAATTATCACATATAAAGTGTTGTTTCATGAATTTCTCTTTACATCTCTAACAAAACAATATAACAAGTTGTGTGAATATTTTTCTGTATGACAAAAATAAAACTCATGACAATTTACACTTCCACATAACAATTAAACTGAATCAAACAATTCTTGTAAAGCTAATAGCAATATAAATTTAATGCCAAATGTTAAATTAACGCTGTTCAATTCCTATTGACTTGACTAGCAAAGACTTCTCTTCAGCTTCCTCAGTAGAGCATCTGTCCAGTAAGCTAAATGTGTTTGGTTCAATTACCATCACTCCAGGCATTAACAATCATCTTTTGTTTCAAAATGAATGAAATAGGTTGCATTATACAATAAAAGAAGTATTATGCTCATGATGTGCCTCCTTATCAAACCTGTATCTTGTACAGATATAGTCTTATAGGTGTGAATTTAGCATACTATAATAAACATACATACTAAAGATGAAAAGATTGGTTTGCAACATAAACACTATATTTACTAGTGAATTTTATGAAAGCATTTTTCATAGAGAGTTGTAAAATCAGAAATAAAACCTCAAATTGTACCTTCTAAAATTATAAATCCAATGCTATGACAGTTTAGAACAGGAATTAGGCCATAATATATAACAAAGTAATATGCAATTCATATCTACCACAGCATTTAACTGCTGATTGAAAACTGTACTTTACCTGAAACTACTATCATACTTCACCTGAAAGTACAAATTGTGCAATGATGGAATCATTAATTAGTATTTTTTACATTATGAAAACATTGAGGAAAATATAAACTGCTGACACTTACGAGGAGAAAGCAGCGTATAATAATTTAGTGACAAAATCAATACCTGTATCACCAGTAAAAGGACGGCAGAGAATAAGAATGAAGTCACATAAATAATATTATTTCACTGACTGTAATGTTTACTAATTTCTATTGTAGATCACAACCTCAAAGCTACGTTGCTGGCTCCATCTCTGGTTTCTTTGACTCATTCATAGCTTCTGTGTATGACGGTAATCCATCTTTTGGTGGGGTAGGAAGTTTATCCAGGTCAGGGGGCTCCGTTCGTCCAGATGCAATTGGAATACCAAGGGGAGGTAATGCTCCTGCCTTTAAACCTGCCCCACCAGTAATAGGTGGAAGTGAATCGGTCTTTGGAGGAGGATGAAATGTAGGTTCGCTCTCTAGCCGGCTGGCACCACGGTCCTCCTCATAGGGATTGTAGGGCGGTATTATTGGTGTTGGAGCTCCCCTTCCTCCGGTGATGTCTCCAACCGGGTCATTTGGAGGTGGAGGTAGGGGACCAGAGTCTGGAATTGACCCAATTGGCTTCTTCACTTGTGTCTCATCAACATTGTCAGATGGTTTGGACGGCATGGTATTTGCATTCTGATCGGACTGTGGTGCAGATGGTTGACTTGACTGTTTCCAAAGCATACTATCCCCTACCTGTAAGGCAGCAGCCAACTTGCTAGCAACATCCTGGATCTGATGAAGAAAAATAAAATACAATCATTGGTCATTTCAGTGACATCATGTACACTGTTCTGCCTTTAAACAAGACAAATCCAGTGACAATTATGATATATCAGTGATAACAACTGACTCATATTTAAGTTACTTTAAAGAGACTGACATTTTCATTGGCTACTATTTTTTCTGATGAAAACATTGAGGGGTGTTTTATTTTCCAGTTTTGTATTTTCTTATGCGAGTAAGACTGACGTTATTAACAGGAGATACAGCCTCTACAGAGGATAGATTTCCTGAATCTGTGGCTAAAGCAGTAGAGAGAAATTCTATAATGCATCTTCTTAGTTCAGAGGTCTGTACACATACATTGGTCACACTGTATTCTTAGTTCAGAGGTCTGTACACATACATTGGTCACACTGTATTCTTAGTTCAGAAGTCTGTACACATACATTGTCACACTGTATTCTTAGTTCAGAAGTCTGTACACATACATTGTCACACTGTATTCTTAGTTCAGAGGTCTGTACACATACATTGTCACACTGTATTCTTAGTTCAGAAGTCTGTACACATACATTGGTCACACTATATTCTTAGTTCAGAGGTCTGTACACATACATTGGTCACACTGTATTCTTAGTTCAGAGGTCTGTACACATACATTGGTCACACTATATTCTTAGTTCAGAGGTCTGTACACATACATTGTCACACTGTATTCTTAGTTCAGAGGTCTGTACACATACATTGGTCACACTGTATTCTAAGTTCAGAGGTCTGTACACATACATTGGTCACACTATATTCTTAGTTCAGAAGTCTGTACACATACATTGGTCACACTATATTCTTAGTTCAGAGGTCTGTACACATACATTGTCACACTGTATTCTTAGTTCAGAAGTCTGTACACATACATTAGTCACACTATATTCTTAGTTCAGAGGTCTGTACACATATATTGGTCACACTATATCCTTAGTTCAGAGGTCTGTACACATACATTAGTCACACTATATTCTTAGTTCAGAGGTCTGTACACATACATTGGTAACACTGTATTTTTAGTTCAGAGGTCTGTACACATACATTAGTCACACTATATTCTTAGTTCAGAAGTCTGTACACATACATTGGTAACACTATATTCTTAGTTCAGAGGTCTGTACACATACATTGGTAACACTGTATTTTTAGTTCAGAGGTCTGTACACATACATTAGTCACACTATATTCTTAGTTCAGAGGTCTGTACACATACATTGGTAACACTATATTCTTAGTTCAGAGGTCTGTACACATACATTGTCACACTATATTCTTAGTTCAGAGGTCTGTACACATACATTGGTAACACTATATTCTTAGTTCAGAGGTCTGTACACATACATTGGTAACACTGTATTTTTAGTTCAGAGGTCTGTACACATACATTGGTAACACTGTATTTTTAGTTCAGAGGTCTGTACACATACATTGGTCACACTATATTCTTAGTTCAGAGGTCTGTACACATACATTGGTCACACTGTATTCTTAGTTCAGAGGTCTGTACACATACATTGGTAACACTGTATTTTTAGTTCAGAGGTCTGTACACATACATTGGTAACACTGTATTCTTAGTTCAGAGGTCTGTACACATACATTGGTAACACTGTATTTTTAGTTCAGAGGTCTGTACACATACATTGGTAACACTGTATTCTTAGTTCAGAGGTCTGTACACATACATTGTCACACTGTATTTTTAGTTCAGAGGTCTGTACACATACATTGGTAACACTGTATTTTTAGTTCAGAGGTCTGTACACATACATTGGTAACACTGTATTCTTAGTTCAGAGGTCTGTACACATACATTGTCACACTGTATTCTTAGTTCAGAGGTCTGTACACATACATTAGTCACACTATATCCTTAGTTCAGAGGTCTGTACACATACATTGGTAACACTGTATTCTTAGTTCAGAGGTCTGTACACATACATTGTCACACTGTATTCTTAGTTCAGAAGTCTGTACACATACATTGGTCACACTATATCCTTAGTTCAGAGGTCTGTACACATACATTGGTAACACTGTATTCTTAGTTCAGAAGTCTGTACACATACATTGGTAACACTGTATTCTTAGTTCAGAAGTCTGTACACATACATTGGTCACACTATATCCTTAGTTCAGAGGTCTGTACACATACATTGGTAACACTGTATTCTTAGTTCAGAGGTCTGTACACATACATTGGTAACACTGTATTTTTAGTTCAGAGGTCTGTACACATACATTGGTAACACTATATTCTTAGTTCAGAAGTCTGTACACATACATTGGTAACACTGTATTCTCAGTTCAGAGGTCTGTACACATACATTGGTAACACTGTATTTTTAGTTCAGAGGTCTGTACACATACATTGGTAACACTGTATTCTTAGTTCAGAGGTCTGTACACATACATTGTCACACTGTATTCTTAGTTCAGAGGTCTGTACACATACATTGGTAACACTGTATTTTTAGTTCAGAGGTCTGTACACATACATTGGTAACACTGTATTCTTAGTTCAGAGGTCTGTACACATACATTGGTAACACTGTATTTTTAGTTCAGAGGTCTGTACACATACATTGGTAACACTGTATTCTTAGTTCAGAGGTCTGTACACATACATTGTCACACTGTATTTTTAGTTCAGAGGTCTGTACACATACATTGGTAACACTGTATTTTTAGTTCAGAGGTCTGTACACATACATTGGTAACACTGTATTCTTAGTTCAGAGGTCTGTACACATACATTGTCACACTGTATTCTTAGTTCAGAGGTCTGTACACATACATTAGTCACACTATATCCTTAGTTCAGAGGTCTGTACACATACATTGGTAACACTGTATTCTTAGTTCAGAGGTCTGTACACATACATTGTCACACTGTATTCTTAGTTCAGAAGTCTGTACACATACATTGGTCACACTATATCCTTAGTTCAGAGGTCTGTACACATACATTGGTCACACTGTATTCTTAGTTCAGAGGTCTGTACACATACATTGGTAACACTGTATTCTTAGTTCAGAAGTCTGTACACATACATTGGTCACACTATATCCTTAGTTCAGAGGTCTGTACACATACATTGGTAACACTGTATTCTTAGTTCAGAGGTCTGTACACATACATTGGTAACACTGTATTTTTAGTTCAGAGGTCTGTACACATACATTGGTAACACTATATTCTTAGTTCAGAGGTCTGTACACATACATTGGTAACACTGTATTTTTAGTTCAGAGGTCTGTACACATACATTGGTAACACTGTATTTTTAGTTCAGAAGTCTGTACACATACATTGGTAACACTATATTCTTAGTTCAGAGGTCTGTACACATACATTGGTAACACTGTATTTTTAGTTCAGAGGTCTGTACACATACATTAGTCACACTATATTCTTAGTTCAGAGGTCTGTACACATACATTGGTAACACTGTATTTTTAGTTCAGAGGTCTGTACACATACATTAGTCACACTATATTCTTAGTTCAGAAGTCTGTACACATACATTGGTAACACTATATTCTTAGTTCAGAGGTCTGTACACATACATTGGTAACACTGTATTTTTAGTTCAGAGGTCTGTACACATACATTAGTCACACTATATTCTTAGTTCAGAGGTCTGTACACATACATTGGTAACACTATATTCTTAGTTCAGAGGTCTGTACACATACATTGTCACACTATATTCTTAGTTCAGAGGTCTGTACACATACATTGGTAACACTATATTCTTAGTTCAGAGGTCTGTACACATACATTGGTAACACTGTATTCTTAGTTCAGAGGTCTGTACACATACATTGGTAACACTGTATTCTTACTATTCTGAAGTAAAGACATGTATGTCTTGTTTATTTCCATGACAAAAGGATTTTTATTAATTTGCTTGGTAATCATAAACTAGCTGGAGGTACTTCATATAAATATTTAGTTAAACATAAGAATACATTATTCTTATAGTTCCAATACTAAAGCTGAAAATTCTGTTTACTATAACAGTACCTCAGGATCACCTCCATTAGGGTTGGTTGCCTTTAAAATTTTCATCTTCATCTCAAAGTCTTTAAATTGCTTTGCAGCTTCCTTCTTCTGTCCATTGTTGTACATGTACAGAGCAAAGTTCAAAGAAATTCCTGGATCTTTCCTACAAATAAAATCACAATGTTTACCATAAAGAAAGAACTTTCTTTAGAACACAATGAATTCTATGGAATCGTCTTTCATTCAAGATTTTCTTTTAGGTACAGATTAGGACTGACAAAGACACTGTTGGAAGTGTGTGTTTTTCAATCCTAACAAATTTAACATTTACAAAAAAAATGAATATGATGATATTGATAATAATAATAGCTTACTGATCGAGTGTGAGGGCCTGTTCGTATGCCTGTCTGGCATTGTCTGGGTCCTCCAAGTGTGTTAGGGCCACTAGTAACAAAAACAATATCATGTGATGCGTACAATACAAAAGATACATGTTTAGATATCAAAGTTATATTGTATTATGTATCATGACATCTGCCCCCTTTGATCATTTACACCATGGTACAGGTACAAGATGTCAATTAACTAAAAACAGATGACAACACCTGAGGTAACCTTTCTCACAAAACAAAAGTCAGATCCAGAAAAATTGAGAAACACTTGTACATGTTCTTTCCACAGGGAGCTAAGTCCATGAAAATGCAGAAGAATTAATACATAAAACCTATGTAACAGTTCTCAATTTTTAATACTTTTTCAAAGTAACATTTTTTCTGACAAAAATCTCATTGTTAGCAAGTGCCAGTTCAACTTCTAAAAAGGAAGTTACATGTATTTGAATAATAGACATTTTCAATGAGTTATCGACCTGTGATTCAGACAAGATTTTTTTTCATCTTCAAATGTAATAAATTACTGTTCTTCTCACCATATTAAATAACAACTGATTTCACTGCCTGTGTAAATTCGTTTTCTTTGGTAGGATATAAGAATGATCGATCATAGTTGCTCAATACCTACTGAACAAAGCATTTACTAATCATAGGATGACAATAACGAGACTTATTGTTTACCTGCCAGGAGCATGAAGAGCTGTGCCATCTTTGGTTTGAGGTTAATAGCAGCACTAAGAAAATGGAATGCTGAGGCATACTGCTGCATGGTCAAGTGAACAAGTCCCAGGTTGAAGAGGATCTTCCAGTCGAATGGTGCCAGATAATTAGCTCTCTTAAGGCAGCTGATAGCCTGGAATTGTCAGATAGGTCTATGTTGACAGTACTCAGATTTACTGTTAGCAATGAGAGCAATGTTTGCTGCTTACTGTTAATCAATAAAACCATAGCTTTCTTATTTTACTTTTGACTTAATTAACAGATTGGAATGCTAATCACAGACACAAAAAGAAAAAAAAAACCTGACACAAATGATTCTCATAAAAGCAGATTATAAATGTCAGATATCTGTTAAATGTTTAGGTAGAAAATATAAATGGCTGTTCTTTGTTTGGTCTTTGACAAACTTTTCACACATTTCATGACAAAAATCATTCAGAAATAATTATCATATAAAACAAACTTACTGCCACAAATTTCTTTTTCCCAAAGAAACTCATTCCAATGTTGTTCCAGAGTGTTGGACTTTCTGGTGTTTTTACAGCTGCTATACGGTACTTATTGAGAGCCACATCAAAGTCTCCGTGAGTCTGCATCATACTTCCTGCGGCCATGATAGCTTTGACATGGGTAGCATCATACGTCATGGCATTACCAAGGTTCTCAAAGGCCTTCTGGTACTGACCAATCTGGTGAAAAATCCAAAGATCTTGATAGAATCAAGCCATATATGTTTTTAATATGATTATCACTGTGTACTGTAATTCTAATCTAGGGAATCACTTTTCTCAAACACTCAAATTAACAAAAGTATGCAAAACTTTTGATTCAAATTCCTTTTCAGCTCTAACATCAAAATCTTAAATGTCTTGAAAATTTTGAAATTCTGGTCAAACCATGAAAGATAAATCAGAGATGTGTAATGATTAATCATCTTTATATTAATCTGGATATTGTAAGCTATGTAATAATAATAAACTACCTGTACTATAGCAATACACAACTTACAAAAACAAAACCAATTACCTGCATATATAACAGGCCGAGAGTGGTGAGCATATCTGGGTTTTCTGGGGAATATCTACAACAAACATATAGCTGAAGGTTTAATATCAACATGTCAAACCTCACAACAAAGCATAGATCTTGCATGTTTTAAAGGTTATTTCATTTAATACTTTTCCTACCACAAGAAATGTGTTATAATTGCAGTTTTTGTACACTTTTTATCACAGATTTTGAGGTATGCAAATTTCTACTTACATAACTCTTTTAAAATCTATCATTGCACTTCTACACAAGCACATTGCTAAATATCTCGCAAAAATAATGCACATTGATAATTCATATTCTTACAAAAGATACTTCAAACCAAGAGTTCTGAACATTTTTGTCAACAATGTACGAAAATTCTGTCTCCTCCAATAACAAGTGGTATCTGATGAAGTAACAATACTATTTGTATCTTGTTTTCCCTAATTTGCTCTGAGCTCTAAGCTAGATGTAGTAAATAACCTTAAATAACCTGTGAAGACAGGGCAGTTATAAAGACAGCCATGAAAAAAAAGTACATGAAAGAAGACAGAAAAGAGGTTAGATATATAACAAAGTTTTGCTGGAATATCTTACTCTACAGCTTGTTTGTAGATCTCAATGGCTGCATTAATATCTCCTTCCATCAAGTGAATCTTCCCAAGCATGACATAGGATATCTCATGTCGTTTAAAAGCTAGTGCTTGTGTCAAGCATTCTTTTGCCTACAATATAACAATGTAAATATCATTGTTTGTAAATTCAGGCTATATTCAGTAAATATTTGTATTTAATTTTAAAACTTAATTCTTTCACATTTAAATTCAATAAAAACAATACCAGTCGTGTTTCTCAAAAAGTTATCTCACCTTGGCATAATCTCTGAGGTACATGTAGCATACTCCCTGGTTGTGAGATATTTCCTGAAAAGAAAAGAAAACTCTTCCTTAGAATTAAAAACAACAAATAAAACATGTACATGCACATTGTAAACTACCATTTCAGTTTATTTTGACACACTTCGTCAAACCTGAAGGATATATCTGGAAAGTGACATTTATACAAAGAATACTTTTACAACATGCATCGTGTATTTTGACTTGTTATTAGAAAATGACCAAATTTGGATAAAAACGACTGACATACTTACCCAGTCTTTCTGTGATATCTTAGCTGTCTCATTATATACCTCAATGGCTGCCTTGTGTCGGGCCAGAAGAAACCTTGTAACCAACATGAAACATAATACAGCATTTTGAATTCAATTAAGACTTGCAATACAGATTTACATGTCAAAACAGGGAGCCAAATAGCTTGGATTTGTGCTATATAAGCGCAACTTATTCAAAGAATGTAAGATCACAGACCACTATGTTAAATATAAAATGTTCATGATAACTGCTAAACCAGCAAGTGCAATAGTGAAACTGATGAATGGTCCTTGAAAACAACATTCATGAAGACAAAATTTGAACAAAGGGCAATAATTCTATCATTAAGGGGTTTTGGGTCCTGAAGTTAGTACACGGCACATCCTCAAAGGGCAATAACTCTGTATTTGATGTTTTGCAGGCCCTAAATTTGGTACATTGCACATTGTTGTAGTATGACCAATGTTTACACCAAACTTCATTATCCCTGGTTAAATGTGGGGGAAGATACCCCTTGACACCAAAAGAGGGACAGATGAACAGATAAATGGACAGACTATGCGGCAACTATATACTCATCTGAAAATTTTAATTTTGCAAAGATCTTTCAAAGTTCATTTCTACCTTACAGTGATAATCAAAACTTACTGGTACAGAAACTTTAAAAACTTGAAATGATCTTTAAAACTTGAACTTTTGTCACAACTTACAAAGATCTTGCAGCTTGCTTTAAGTTATCGGCACTCGTTGGATTCAATAAAGTACACGTCTGAAACATCTCCAGAGACTCCTGAATTTTACCTTCTTGTCGCAGAATTAGGGCTGAAAACAAACAATATTTCGTTTAGAAATGTTATACTTACTATCATCAAACACACATTACAAAAACAATCAATACCTACCTATTATACTGAAGATGGCAATTTGTACAGACATGTATCAAGAACTGATGCTTAACTTATTATCATTAAAATTGACAAACTTTAAACAGTCATAAATGATGCAAAGATCTAATGCCAGCTTTTCAAATTGCCAGGCAACCTTGGACAAAGGTGGGCTGATTGATAAGGTGTGAGTCTTGTATTGAAGAAGTTAAGCAGGGATGTCCTTTTTCCGCTCTGCTATTCCCTGACTATTTAAGGCTGTGTACCTGAAGACTGGTGTCATTTGGTCAGTTTATATCCAAGGGGTAGCACTCTAAAGTAAACAAGGCAAGCGATTTTTGCAAAATGGACGAATCGGATAACAAAGGTCTAGCACCTAAGGATATCCATACTGATATGGTAGCAACACTAGGGAATGGTGCCCCTTCATATGCTACAGTGGAAAGGTAGGTGGTGGAATTTAAACGTGGCAGACAGAGCTGTGTGGATGACGCCAGAAATGGCTAAAAAAGTCCATGATATTGTTATGGCTGACATTTGAGTTACAGAGAGATATATTGCCAGTACAGTTGTGATTTCACAGGAAAGAGTACATTCCAGTCTTATGTAAGATCTTGCAATGAGAAAGCTCTCAATCAGTTGATTGGGCACCCACCTTGATCTCCTCAATCAGAATTTCATCTGTTTCCAAAATTGAAAAAGTCCATTTCTGGTACCCACTTTCTGTCAGATGATTACGTCATACATACTGTGAAGGACTTTTTAAACAACCGAGAAAAGGTCTTCTTTAAAAGTGCCAAATTGTCCCTCAAACATCACTGGCAAAAGTGTATAGATACTAAAGAGATTATGTTGAAAAATAATACAACATGTTCCCCGAAATTCAAATGGTTTAATATGAGGCTCACAATTTATCAATCAGTCCTTGTAGTTAGTGTCTTTATACTGACCTTGTACATACACAGCATATTCACACATGCCCCCACTCTCCGCCAATTGCTCTCTGATAAGAGATTTACAGCTGTCATATTCCTTCCTTACGTAGTGAAGGTGTATTAGCCAGTTTCTCCTCTCAAAGATTGGCAATTCAGGTGCTAAATGAAAACAAAATTGAAAAGTGTAAATAAATTGGTACTGAGATGTCCAATATAAAATTGTCTAACATGAATTTGCATTTTAAGTTTAACTTATTTGACACCTTATAGTGAATTTATTCATTACTCTACAAAAACTACCTCTGGACTTTCCTACTATTCTACTAGTATACCACTATGACTCCAGTTGTTACCGCCTATTTTACCTAAAGCACAATAGAAGAGGAACAACTGAAGACAGCACCCATTCAGTGTAGATCAGGAAAAGTTTCTATATTTGATTTCTAATACTTACAGTGGAAACTAAATAAATTGTACTTAGAGGAGGATTTCTGTGTAGCCTAAGAAAGCACTTTACATTCAGTGAATCTATTTATACACATATAATGAATGCAGTTGTTATAATATCTGGATTTTTTAATATGAGAGAATAAACAAGAATAGATTGCTTAAAACTTTATTCAAATTTATGCTTTAATCTCACATCACATTTGTAGATCTACTGAATATCTACACTCTATAAGAAAAAGAAGCATGAATGGTTAGCGGTCACATACTGGCCAATCCAATTTTTGAATATGCCAGAAAATAAATATTACAAAAAATCATAGGTTGTATAGAGAAAACAGAACTTTCATTTCCACTTGTGTATTGATTGCCCAGATGGTATAATGTAGTTTGAGCCATAGCTATATAGTTAGACATCATGTTTTGGCTTATGTTACCTTTCCGTGGTTTAGGCTTCGGAGCTGCAACAGGAACTTGTGGTATGCTGGTCACAATTTGTGGTTCTAGATCAAGCTGTGGTGGAGGTGGAGCTGCATAGTTTTCTTCCTAACAGTAAAATGTTACATCAATAGATATATGATACGCAATTGTAATTTTATTTGTTTTAGTCTGTATATTGGCCACAACCAAGTCAAAAATAAAATTATGGATGGTGACCCAGAACCTTTCAGACTAACATGAACCACAATGAACAAATGTTGAGTCCCTGTGGCCTGTATCGGTGTTCCTCTCATTACTAACCTGCTCCATGTTGTTGTTTACATAGATGGAGGTTGGGATTGCTTAGATGCATGTAAGTGTTGTATAGAGAAAAGTTTTTTTTTCATAATTAGCATTTTTGTGAGGATAGTGAATACCTAAAAAATAAAAGATGAATGTTCTGCTAGTGGCTTGGTGCAAGGACTTCAGGGGCTACATACAAATGTAGGAGATACCAAATGTATGTGCTTTGAATCTCTAAAGTATCATGCAATGTACCACTGCTAATGGCAAGAGATTCCATTGTATTGTCGATTTAGAGAAGATGGGTATTCATCCTGCATTTGAGGGATAGTTACTGCTTAGAGTAATCAATTAGTTATTCAAAGGCAGGATTATTTTGGTGGTGTATATGTACTACAATGTAGGCTAATGATTCATGAGCACAGTGGTTGGCCATTGTAGTTTGACTCATGTGACCAAAGCGTCCCATCAGACATTTTATATGTTAAGTTAGTGTTAATCATTTTTCAGAACATTTATTCAGGTTGGTAATGTCTACAGAATAGAAGTTCTTGTAACACAACCAGCAGAAAATTTGAGGGTGATGTTTCTTTGACTACACCGTCACTTTCATCAGTGAAATGAAAAGTATAAGAAATTAAGCATATACAACTACTAACGTAAGAAGTGTACGAGATGGTCATAAACCGACCAACATTATAGTATGTCAAGAAGGTAAACAGATTAAAAGTACATAACATGGTAATCGAAACATCACACTCAAATCCTCAACTGGCGTGTCACATGAACTTCTGTTCTAGTGTTAATCATATTTTCGTAAAATTTCTATCGTTTCATATTGATAACGTCCAATTCGTGTGGAAAAAAGAAAAGATTTTGAATTTAGCACAGCACGTCAACAATATCATAGAAAAAAGTGCGAAGACATCGCCTGAATCCAATTCTGGGTTGTATTTATAGCATTAAAATGTAATAACGGAGTTGAAGGACAAAACTTTTTCATTCATATTTGTTTGAATTCAATACATACGTCAGTAGGTGCCGTGTTCTCCGGTACCAAGTTTTCTTCTTCGCCGATGTCAGCCATGTTGTATTTAGCAACGTCGGTGCTTGGAAAAAGATCGGAATGTGATTGGGTGAATAGTAATTCAGGGGGAATAACCCATACCTAATGGTGAGCTTTCGTTTGTGCAGACAAACCGGTTCATCAAAGTCCCATTATTAATCGAGACCGACCCGAATGACCAGTGGACATGATGTTAACTTTTCGAAAACGAAAGGCTTATTATGTTCAAGATTTGAATGCATTGGACATAGAGTTGAATTTACAGCTTTTTTTGTTCTCTGTTGACAAAAAAAATCATCAAATCAAGCACCACTGATAGATTCTGAGGAATGTATTTACATGTATGTTGTGATCTTGTGTTTGTGTGTAATTTTTCTATATAAATATGTCTACGTTTAAATATAAATAATGTCTCTGCCTATATACGCATCACATCATATATTACGCCCCCGATGACAACAACTAAATTCACCTAGATCAAAATGAAACCGAACTGTTTGTTGGGATAACCCATTAAATCTCTAGAATCGCTCGCCATTGGGGTCGACCTTACATGAACTGAAGGGTCATGTAAATGTGAACAAAGCGATGGATGGTTCACATAAAGTTATGAAGTTATCAGCTTTGTCTACAGCCATTGAGTGTTGCTATAGTGACGACTACATCATATTTAAAAGTGTTTTATATTTAGTAACTTTACTGGAACGAGGTACGAACTCCAGTAAGTATTGTCACTAAACTAGAAAGTAGAGATTTCAGTACGTTTCAGTTGTTTTGTACAAATAACTGTACCTAGAAATCTTATGGTTGAAGTCGAATTGAATTGAAGTCGCATGACTGATAGACAATGCAGTGTCGGTGATGTCGCGTGATTAATTGATGAAGTCGAATTATCTCTCATAAAACCGTGACTGAGATAGCCGAGATAGTGTGGGTAAAAACACGTGATTAATTAAGTCGAAATTACCGTTGACTGAAGTTGTTTGACACTCGGATTTTACGTTTTTTTTGAAAAGCCAAGTAAGTAATATATAATTGACTGTTAATTAAAGTTGTAGAATAAATATCCGATAACCTAATTTTCAGCTATTTGAAGTTTTTAATGTAATTTCCTGGCCAGACAGCTGAACTAGGAACTAACATTATCAGTTTTCATTGGCTGTCAAGCTTATCGCTATACAAAGATTGATAGTGAAAACGAAGGGCGGTAACTCTGAGAGATCAGAATGAGACTACAAACGTAATCACATTACTATCACGGACCAAGGTACAACATTAAGTTTTACAATAATCAATGGATCCAACATCCATAAGCCGCATCAAAAGAATTTGCTGTTAAGTTAACATGTAACGGGGTTACATAAAGACCTTTCGCTAATTGAGATATAAATTATGAAATAAATAATTTCCCTTTGAAACAAACAGATGAATAAATAACCACACCAACAAAGACAAGCTTACAGTATTAGAATCCTTATTCGATACAATGAAACGAGGTAAGTGACGAGCAACAGAAAGATTATGTGAATACCATTGAATTACTGTAGTATCAAATAGGACTGGGTGTGCCGGAAGTGCAATTACAAGCAGAGCAGTCATGGAATGTGTAGTGTTAAATGGGAGACGGATAAGTTAGGAAATATTTGGATACTATTGATGTTGTCATAATCATAATTTATCTCATACATCCCTAACAAGTTAACATTCATTAAACGGAACACATTAATCTATTGGCATAAAAAGTGAGGTCGCTATTTATACATTCTAATTTCGTTTAATGTCTAATTTCTTAGTCACCCGAACTTGTTTGAAAAAGCGCTAGCATGATGAAGTGATGGTGCGTCTTGTTAAATGTATAGTATATTGTATGTCTATTTTCTGAGAGCACATTAAAAATATAATAGAGTTATCTGATTTTAGTTAAGATGAATTAATTTCTATTGCTGAAATAAATCAATATGATATACCTGTACATTAAAGTATTGACTGTGATAAATCTACAACGAAGGTTTATAATTGTATATTTTCTCTGTTTGGGACTTACAGGGTTTAGATAACAAAATCTTCTTCCATGTCATTCGAATATCTCACTATCATGTGAACAAGGTGTCCCACTATCATATCACCAAGGTGTCCCACTATCATGTCACCAAGGTGTCCCACGATCATGTCACCGAAGTGCCCCACTATCATATCACCAAGGTGTCGAACGATCATGTCACCAAGGTGTCCCACGATCATGTCACCAAGGTGTCTCACTATCATGTTAACCAGTGCTCGCTTATTATGTCAGCGTCTGTTCCTACATCATGTCACCCAGTGCACGACTTTTATGTCAACCATGTCCCACTATCATGTAAACCGATGTCCAACTATCATGTCAGCCAAGTGTCCCACTATCATTTCCTTAAGGTGTCCATCTATCATGTCAACCAGCGTTCTATTATCATGACAACCAATGTTTCACTTTCATGCCAACACGTGTCCCACTATCATTTCACCCATGTGCCCAACTATCATGTCAACCAGTGGCCCATTATCAAATAACCCAAATGTACCACTTTCGCGTCACCTAGGTGCCCAACTCATGCTAACGAGTGTCCAATTATTATGTCACCGAGGTGTCTCCTATCATGTCGCCATGATGTCCCACGATCCTGTCACCAAGGTGTCCCACGATCATGTCACCGAAGTGCTCCACTATCATATCACCAAGGTGTCCCTCGATCATGTCACCAAGGTGTCCCCTATCATGTCACCAAGGTGTCTCACTATCGTGTCACCAAGGTGTCCCCTATCATGTCACCATTATGTCCCCTATCATGTCACCAAGGTGTCCCATATTATGTCACCAAGGTGTCCCCTATCATGTCACCAAGGTGTCTCACGATCCTGTCACCAAGGTGTTCCCTATAATGTCACCAAGGTGTTCCCTATCATGTCACCAAGGTGTTCCCTATCATGTCACCAAGGTGTTCCCTATCATGTCACCAAGGTGTTCCCTATCATGTCACCAAGCATTCAACAACACCTCTTGTCCTGTGAGTAGAGAGTAAGACATTTACCTGCTGTCTCCATTACTTGATTTGAAATTATTGGAAACAAAATTCAGCTTAAGATTTTTCCCTGTCTTTCTAAACGGTCTTTGTTTCTTATGTGTCCCTTGACATTGCCTCACTTTTGACTTTGAGATGTACGTTCGCCCACGTGTGGAAAGCCTTGGTTCTGTCCTCCGTTTAAAGATAGACTAGATTAATTGTACACGGTAATTACTACTCCCTGCGTTACTCTAGTATCGTGGCATGGCCCATGTCAACCCTGTCAAAATACACAAATCAACTCGTTTTTTTCAGAGGTTTCCGTAAACAATGTTAACGGTAATAAAAGCACTTGGATTTTGTGACATTTATTTTTTTATTGACCTTCACTTTTTTCGAGCTTTGAACATAAATAATTAGTTGGAATGGCCCATTTGTATTAATTGTATCGATTCCAAATTAATATTTCTGTAATAAGACACACATCTTGACTTGATTTTGTCAAGTGTGCTCTCTTTTGTCAAATTCTACTTTGCTTTCAGTTGTTTCAGCCACTGCACTTTTCAGCTTTGCTTTAGCAATAAACTCTTGACAACTATGGCTGCTTGATGGAACACACGTGATCTTTATTACACATACACAGAACCTCCCTGGTTCCTAGCCTATGACCTGTGATTGTTTCTCTTTCTAATTATACACAAGGAGGCTAATACGAACGCAGTCTCCTGAAAACGCACGCACTCACCTTGTATACAAGGGCAGGTTGTCCTGCGTCATTTACAGTGGCGTATTCCTGTGATATTTGAATTTCCTATTTACTATGTCTCTGTTTATATTATTGTTAAGATCTATAATCATGCTAGATTGTGATTGATGTTCTTAGTATTCTGGCGTGTTTGTTGTTCTCATTTCAGATCGTAATAATTCTTACTTGGATTAAAGAATGTTACCCTTGCGGAACTGTCCTGCATGTAGTGTGTTGGAATAAGTTGGGAGTGAGACTGGGAACTCTGGCAGTGTACATGTAGCAGTATAAAGTCGGCTTCTGGTCACACAAGAACGTTTACGTATCGAAGTCTACCCCCCCCCCAAAAAAAAAAAAACAAAAACAAAAAAAAATACTCGCATTTGGCACATGCATTCACCTCACATAGCCCGAGTTGTTGAAATATATAGAACTTGAAACCCAAATCCTTCCGGAACACCTGGTCTTATTCTCCATGTACTCTCCCTGGTCCACATTTTAATCACGTTTCTTGAGATCATGGTTTTATTGACATGCCAGTATTTCGTTGATATTGTCAAAGTATTGTTGAGATTAAAACATATCAAAACAGATAAAAAGTATTTGTCTATCATAACCTCATTCGTCCTCCATCTTGTCGACTTCTCCTTGTGAAGTGTATCTTTTCATTCTCTTCGTACATAACTGATTTTATTGAAATGTACAGATAATAGGTACACTGTATATATTACTGAACATGCTTTTTCCTTATTTAATCTATGGGTAGAAACCAGTGACAAAGTACACAGAAACATACGACCTTGTACATATGTTGTGAGATCGAGGTAAGTCGCAGTTGAATTCTTTCATTATTTCTAAATATGTATTTGTGAAACATTTTCCGCCGCAACAAAGTGATGTTATGACTGAGAGAATTGTAAGCATGTTTCATCTCAATGTGACGTGACTGATATCGTACTTCGCGCTAAAATCAATATTACTTAATCTAATGTGTTGATGTTTGGGACAAAACCATTCAAACATGATGAATTAACATAAAAAATAGGGATATATTTCGAGATGAATGTCCATTACAAACCATCGGAGAGAAATCAGTTCAGCGAGGTGATACATTAGTTGGTAATGTACGTTTTTTCATCTCTTTTGAATTCCTAGTGAAACATGGGCCGGTTAAAGTCACTGCCACGCTTGATGTGTTACAAAGTAAATACAATAAAAGTGTTCACAACTAATCGATAAACCAAGGAGAAACCAGGAACTGAATACCAGTCAAGCAGTACACGACATTAACATTTCCGAAAGAATCTCTTTACACTAACCTATATGCTATCTTAAATACATCCCCAGGCTGGAGGGACAAGCTATAGCATTTACATATGTATGTTGTGGCTGATTGTAGACGACAAAGAAATGTTAAATTAACTTATACGTATGGTGATGCTGAGCTTATACAACTTTCAAACTTTATAAATATTTTCCGGAAGTCGGATATATCCCGCAACATATCATATAACATTTTGCGCGTAATAAAACATGTCCCTCCGCCATTAACACAAGAAAATGAAAATTATAGTTTAATACTTCAGGTTGAAAATTCTATTTATAAAATTGATAAGTATCATACACTGTACAGCAAATGTTGCTACGTGATTTAGGAGTGGTTTCTGGAAACGTGTGTTCATTGGATCGATATAGACGATAATTACCAGGTATATATGGATGTCATTGGACAGTGGGCTCTGTAAATTGTTACTTTCCTCAAACAAAAACTGCTACCACTGAGTGTTCATAGAAAGGAACGGAAGAACATGGCTACCCTACAGAATACCATTGTGTACCTAGGATTGTCTTTTCTGGTGTTTAGTAGTGAGTATAATCATTCCTACGTGAAAATTCCGTATCTACTCACTATATAACTAGGATTGTGTACACGTACTTACACGGTTTAATTATCTTTATAGTATTGAATACATGTAGAGAGTAATCTGGTCTTCAATTGTATTCAGCTGATAAATTTTATGTGACTGCAAATTTTTAGTATTTAAATTTTACTTGATCTGTTAACTGGTAGTTGTAAATATTACCCGATGACGGTAACAAACAATATATAGTTATTCTGTTATCTTGAAGAGTTACAATATAAAATATTGCATGTTTTCCATCGGCGCAAATCACATGGATTCAACTCTACAAAATGAAATGTTCTTTTAAGCTGGTCATTAATTAAACATGATTCTGCACTCTTACTGATTTTTGATTCACATGGTCTCGAGAACATAATTTACATATTTCTTCTGGATATGTTTTTGATATAACAAAATCCGTGTTGGGAACGAGACGTTACCTACATGAATGAAGAAACTCAAACTCTTACATCCCCACCGTGTCATTTTAACAGTGCATAAATCCAAGACACACAACTGTTTAAAGTAGATTGACAAGTTCCTTTGAGCAGATGAACATTTATCTGAAAGATAAACTTTTCTTTTGTTTCAAGATTCTTGTCTTTTTTAAAAGAACGTCAAAATTTGACAACAATTTTTTTTTTGTATTTTCAAGTTCCTTTTTAAGGACCATGTTTCTTCAAAAGTTTTCAGTAGTGTTCTGCGTATCGATGTTTTTCCCGCTCTTTTTATCTAAGTGGAAACTACGCTCGTGATTTAGCAGAAAATAGATCATAGACAGCAGAGTACGAGAATATTTTACGTAGGAAAGTAATATTATAGGGAAGTATACCATGATTCAATATAATAATTCCAACGCAGTACCTTATACTTCTGTGTTTTCATACCTACTTTGTTTTCAGTAGTTGTACTTACAAATATAAATGGCGTGCTTAATATGGCGACAGTCTGTAGAATGTGGTGATGTCGTAGTTGATGTCGTGATAAAGTTGGTAATGTAAACAATTTTTGTCGCTAGGGTACGTCTCTCGAGTATTATTCTGAAAGTCTTTGTAACATTCAACAAAGATCTGTGTGATTATACATTAATTCTGACTGATAGATAATTTTTGTCAATTTATCATTTTTTGATTTAATTAATTCTTTTAGTTTAAAAGTTTTAATGTTTTTCTTCAGCAACATGAAATCTCTACTCTCTATAATTCTTCAGATCAACCATCTATGGTAATGACAGAAAGCTTTGGACAGGTATATATATGGCCGCTAAACAACAGTACCTACGGCGGGGAAGTTTACGCCAACACAGTACAGGATAATAGTCAGTCTGGATTTAAGTTTGGAGAGCTACATCCGAACTTTAATGGCGTTAAATCGCTCACATTTGACGGATCCGGATATGTTGATATAGCGGTTGGACCTGCCTCCTTTGGTAGCAATGATGTTTCTCTTGTCATTCATTTTAAGAAAACAAATTCGGCTGACTCGACATTATTTCATTATAAATCCACAGCAACGACGGGCCAAATAACAGAATTAAAAGCATCGGTGATCAACGAGGCACTAGTCTTATCGAAAACTGCTTATGGATCTGTAGAAGGGAAACAATTTTTTGCCAGCGTTAAGCTCAATACCTGGCATACACTGATTTTCTGTGTGCTCAAAAGCAATGGACGGTATGATGTATATCTAGACAATTCAAACAGTGTTTATTCAACCGACAGTTTCGCATCCGACCAAACCCTGACGACACCAGGAACAATTCGCTTAGGAGCAAATTTGAATGGAGGAGATAAGTTCACGGGTGCTGTTATCTGTATGGGGCTTTTTAACGATGACCTTGAGAGTGATGATTTAACTTCCATAAGGAGTTTCTGTGATAAGTCGAACTGGGTCTATACTCCAACAGGTAAGTAATATATTCAGTACGGTGGGTGTATGCTTAGTATGGTGGGTCAATACTCCAACAAGCGACCATAATATTCTGTATGATGAGATTACTTAAAGAAATTAATCTGCTTGTAATCATGCATTTGACTGTACATGGCTGATTACTTCTGCCCCTCGGTTGCCAACTATCTCTGGATGTTTCAACCCTGGACCATGACATCTCCTAGTTGATGTGCCAACTTATGCAGGGAATAATTAATAAATCGCAACGAAGTGTTACCTTACCGTTTTTATTAAGTCTAATGTTTACTATATCTAATTTTGTTCAGTTTTCATTAAAGTTTACTTCAAATTGTAGTCTTTGTAAGATTTTGCATACTGTGTACTTCGTCAGTTGTACTAGGTTTTATTCATGTGCATCCTAAATTAAGCATTGTCCTTGATGGTTGCCTGTTGACGATAAAATATCATATTTCATCGTGACATTGTGCGTTCTCACTAAAAACAAATGCCCGTCATGGTAAGCGTTTTTTCTTAAACTTACTGTAATCTATTTTCAATTTTCAGATTTGCCATCATCACTTACCACATCAACGACAACACTCACTTCTACAACATCACCTACCACTACCACATCAACGACAACACTCACTTCTACCACATCACCTATCACTACCACATCAACGACAACAACCACACCCACTTCTACCACATCACCTACCACTACCACATCAACGACAACAACCACACCCACTTCTACCACATCAACTACCGCTACCACATCAACGACAACAACCACACCCACTTCTACCACATCACCTACCACTACCACATCAACGACAACAACCACACCCACTTCTACCATATCACCTACCACTACCACACCAACGACAACAACCACATCCACTTCTACCACATCACCTACCACTACCACATCAACGACAACAACCACACCCACATCTACCACATCACCTACCGCTACCACATCCACAACATCTACCACCACATCACCTACCACTACCACAACATCTACTAACAATCCCATAAAAACAATCATGTCACCTTCCACTTCAGCCGGGTCAGTAAGAGTCTGCCAGGATATTAACTGCTACATCGAGCGAGTTGCCGATCAGAGAAAGCCAACGACTGCTATAGAGAGTCCCTATGACCTGTTGATCGTAACAAGCATCCTTAGGTGTGCCGGGAGGTGTGGCAGAAACGTCACGTGCTCTTCGTTTACATTTAACGTTTCAAATAAAACATGTGGCTTATATACACAGTCGCATAGTGCTATAGATCTCATGTTTGCTGTAGAAGAGATTTACTTCAAAGTTATTTAAGGTGAAGTGCACGATGCATTTTCTGTTCAATACATAACAACATTTGGAATGCCATGGTTTTAATTTAGAAACACATGAATAGTTAAAAGCTAACAGAATTAAAATATCAAAATCTTAGTAAAACGATTCAAATGTAATGTAGACATCTGTAATCGACTACTGAACAATATGCTAAACATTTCTCTGAGGAATCCTCTGCGACCTTATCCCGACAATACTGGATGGACTGATTAAGGAATTGATCTCACTCAATGTGACTTTAAATCCAGAAGTTCTAGAGGAAGGAACCGTTGAACGAATTGTTGATGGCATGGCATAGGTACGAATATCCGACTGCCCATTAATTAGGGGATGTCTCGTGGTATGAACTTCCGTCTTTGTGTTAAGTAGGGTATGTTTCGTGGTAGGATCTTCCGTATATTTGTTTAGTAGGGGATGTTTCGTGGTATGAACTTTCGTCTTTGTGTTTAGTAGGGGATGTTTCGTGGTATGAACTTTCGTCTTTGTGTTTAGTAGGGGATGTTTCGTGGTATGAACTTCCGTTTTCTGATTAGTAGGGGATGTTTCGTGGTATGAACTTCCGTCCTTCTGTTTAGTAGGGGATGTTTCGTGGTATGAAATTCCGTCTTTGTGTTTAGTAGGGGATGTTTCGTGGTATGAACTTCCGTTTTCTGATTAGTAGGGGATGTTTCGTGGTATGAACTTCCGTCTTTCTGATTAGTAGGGGATGTGTCGTGGTAGGAACTTCCGTCTGTCTGTTTAGTAGGGGAAGTTTCGTGGTAGGAACTTCCGCCCGTCTGTTTAGTAGGGGAAGTTTCGCGGTCGGAACTTCCGTCTGTCTGTTTAGTTAAGAAAGTCTCGTGGTAGGAACTTCCGTCTGTCTGTTTAGTTGAGAAAGTCTCGTGGTAGGAATATCAATCTTTCTTTTTAGTAGGTGAAATCTTGTGGAAGGAATTTCTGTGTAGTACATGAAAACTGGTGTTAGGAAGTTCCGTCTGTCTGTTAGTAGGGGATGTCTCGTAGTAGAAACGTCCGTCAGCTGTTTAGAAGGGGATGTCTCATGGTAGGAGCCTCCGTCTGTCTGTTAGTAGGGGATGTCTCGTAGTAGAAACGTCCGTCAGCTGTTTAGAAGGGGAGGTCTCATGGTAGGAGCCTCCGTCTTTCTGTTTAGAAGGTGAAATCAGGTTGGAGGAACTTCCGTCTTTTTGTTTCGTAGGGGAAGTATCCCTGGAGGAACTTCCGACTTCCTGTTTAGTAACGATGTTTCAATGCACGATCTTGCAAATTTTTTTTGGGATTCCTCGGTGTAGGAACATTGGACAGACTTTTAGTTGGGGATTCCTCGGTGTAGGAACATTGGACAGACTTTTAGTTGGGGATTCCTCGGTGTAGGAACATTGGACAGACTTTTAGTTGGGGATTCCTCGGTGTAGGAACATTGGACAGACTTTTAGTTGGGGATTCCTCGGTGTAGGAACATTGGACAGACTTTTAGTTGGGATTCCTCGGTGTAGGAACATTGGACAGACTTTTAGTTGGGGATTCCTCGGTGTAGGAACATTGACAGACAGACTTAGGAACATTGGACAGACTTTTTGGGGATTCCTCGGTGTAGGAACATTGGACAGACTTTTAGTTGGGGATTCCTCGGTGTAGGAACATTGGACAGACTTTTAGTTGGGTAGGAACATTCAGACTCGGTGTAGGAACATTGGACAGACTTTTAGTTGGGGATTCCTCGGTGTAGGAACATTGGACAGACTTTTAGTTGGGGATTCCTCGGTGTAGGAACATTGGACAGACTTTTAGTTGGGATTCCTCGGTGTAGGAACATTGGACAGACTTTTAGTTGGGGATTCCTCGGTGTAGGAACATTGGACAGACTTTTAGTTGGGGATTCCTCGGTGTAGGAACATTGGACAGACTTTTAGTTTGGGATTCCTCGGTGTAGGAACATTGGGCAGACTTTTAGTTGGGGATTCCTCGGTGTAGGAACATTGGACAGACTTTTAGTTGGGATTCCTCGGTGTAGGAACATTGGACAGACTTTTAGTTGGGGATTCCTCGGTGTAGGAACATTGGACAGACTTTTAGTTGGGATTCCTCGGTGTAGGAACATTGGACAGACTTTTAGTTGGGGATTCCTCGGTGTAGGAACATTGGGCAGACTTTTAGTTGGGATTCCTCGGTGTAGGAACATTGGACAGACTTTTAGTTGGGGATTCCTCGGTGTAGGAGTAGGAACATTGGACAGACTTTTAGTTGGGGGGATTCCTCGGTGTAGGAACATTGGACAGACTTTTAGTTGGGGATTCCTCGGTGTGAACATTGGACAGACTTTTAGTTGGGGGATGTAGGAACATTGGACAGACTTTTAGTTGGGGATTCCTCGGTGTAGGAACATTGGACAGACTTTTAGTTGGGGATTTCTCGGTGTAGGAACATTGGCCAGACTTTTAGTTGGGGATTCCTCGGTGTAGGAACATTGGACAGACTTTTAGTTGGGATTCCTCGGTGTAGGAACATTGGCCAGACTTTTAGTTGGGGATTCCTCGGTGTAGGAACATTGGACAGACATATGTAGAGTACGAGTAGCTGAATCAACGATATTACATTGTTATCATTTCGTTCATTACATACGTCAGTGCTTCGCTTCATACGTCATTTGTTTGAAGGTGACAGCGCAGTTATCGAAATGTCACTCATCAATCAACTGGTTGAGTTTACAAGAACATTCTCTGTTTAATAGACTTCTCTGTGTAGAGAAGATATGACTCTCTATTTTAATAAATAAGACTTACAATCACAAGTTTAGTCTTTTCATTTCAGTACTTCAATTTTACCATCGCGTATTGACTTTGAAAACGCACGATCGTTTTGTTTTTGGTCGTTCGTGCTTCCGAAAATGCACGTTGATGCATCTAAGTAGTTGCTAAAAGGTGTAATTTTGTTATGACTGATTGTAGTGACACCTTTGAGTGTTCCTGTTATGGATGATTGTAGTGACACACGTTTGAGTGGTCCTGTTATGGATGATTGTAGTGACACACCTTTGAGTGGTCCTGTTATGACTGATTGTAGGGGCACACCTTTGGGTGGTCCTGTTATGACTGATTGTAGGGACACACGTTTGAGTGGTCCTGTTATGACTGATTGTAGTGACACACCTTTGAGTGGTCCTGTTATGACTGATTGTAGGGAAACACCTTTGAGTGGTCCTGTTATGGCTGATTGTAGTGACACACGTTTGAGTGGCCCTGTTATGACTGATTGTAGGGGCACACCTTTGAGTGGTCCTGTTATGGATGATTGTAGTGACACACCTTTGAGTGGTCCTGTTATGGCTGATTGTAGTGACACACCTTTGAGTGGTCCTGTTATGTTATGACTGATTGTAGTGACACACCTTTGAGTGGTCCTGTTATGGCTGATTGTAGTGACACACCTTTGAGTGGTCCTGTTATGACTGATTGTAGGGGCACACCTTTGAGTGGTCCTGTTATGGATGATTGTAGTGACACACGTTTGAGTGGTCCTGTTATGGCTGATTGTAGTGACACACCTTTGAGTGGTCCTGTTATGGCTGATTGTAGTGACACACCTTTGAGTGGTCCTGTTATGGATGATTGTAGTGACACACCTTTGAGTGGTCCTGTTATGGCTGATTGTAGTGACACACCTTTGAGTGGTCCTGTTATGGATGATTGTAGTGACACACCTTTGAGTGGTCCTGTTATGGCTGATTGTAGTGACACACCTTTGAGTGGTCCTGTTATGGCTGATTGTAGTGACACACACACCTTTGAGTGGTCCTGTTATGACTGATTGTAGTGACACACCTTTGAGTGGTCCTGTTATGGCTGATTGTAGTGACACACCTTTGAGTGGTCCTGTTATGACTGATTGTAGGGGCACACCTTTGAGTGGTCCTGTTATGGATGATTGTAGTGACACACCTTTGAGTGGTCCTGTTATGGATGATTGTAGTGACACACGTTTGAGTGGTCCTGTTATGGATGATTGTAGTGACACACCTTTGAGTGGTCCTGTTATGGCTGATTGTAGTGACACACCTTTGAGTGGTCCTGTTATGGATGATTGTAGTGACACACCTTTGAGTGGTCCTGTTATGGCTGATTGTAGTGACACACCTTTGAGTGGTCCTATTATGGATGATTGTAGGGACACACCTTTGAGTGGTCCTGTTATGGCTGATTGTAGTGACACACCTTTGAGTGGTCCTGTTATGGATGATTGTAGTGACACACCTTTGAGTGGTCCTGTTATGGCTGATTGTAGTGACACACCTTTGAGTGGTCCTGTTATGACTGATTGTAGTGACACACCTTTGAGTGGTCCTGTTATGGCTGATTGTAGGGACACACCTTTGAGTGGTCCTGTTATGGCCAATTGTACGGTTTAAGCATAATAAAAAAATCATACCTATGTAACATATAGTTTGTTTATCAATTCGATGTCCTAAAGGCTTTCAACATACCAATCAATGACCAGAAAGACTGTACGATCGAACATATTTATACACATAAAAACAATTTAGAAATTCTGCACCACCATAACGTTGATTAAACAATCGTCTGATTGAGGTAAACGAAGCGATTTCTATGTCACGTGACTGCGTTTTGAGCGATTAAGGCCATTGATTCATGTTTTCGGTTCAAAACTTTAAAAATTAGACACGTTCATGCAGACGACTTTAAGGATTGGATGAGGTGACACCGATCACAGTTGATACTGTTATTGTTCAGAGTAAACAGGCACTCATTTCAGAACAAATTTCTAATGAATTAGATCAACAGAATTATACGTACTCTGTTTTTCTTTTAAACAGATATCAATTTTATCCCACAGATATGGGAAATTGACTTTTCGTAATTTCACATTCGCATTGAAATGAAAAGACGAAATACCACTAATTAGCTACCATATCCATATTATATTTCGAAATGTGAATGATAACGTGAAATGTTCATGGCAATGGTTTCGTATATACTTGTAGAAAGGGTTTTTAGTTTAAGACAAGCCTCTTGGATTGAAATGACAATACGAAGGCAGTGTCTAACATAAGCCGCATAATTCTTACATAATCCAGAATATAATTCGCGGCTTATTTTCAAAAGAACGCTTTATATCAGTAATTTCAACAAAAGATGTTAGAGTCAACAGCAGGCAAAACAACAAACTGTATTCAAACTTACGTCGTACTACAATTTATGAACATCACGGCGCAACATCAAAGCTCCGTTCATTGTCTTTAAGCATTTTGAGAATCAGATTGCTGTTTAAAAATCAAGACTATGATAGATTGAGTTTGACGTGGAAACCAAGTCTGTCTCTAGATCGGAGTAAAGATTGCATGTCTTGATGGAGAGTGAAGTGATGACTGTGAACGAGAGACAGGATTCATCTTGGAGACATTGCAAGGCACATTCCGCAGAAGCCCTCACAACCATCGATTTTGTCGAAGTCACATGACAGGAAGGGGTGACGTCATTTCCGGTCAGCTTGAAAACCCCCTGTGTTCGATTTGCTGGAGCGGTTCCAGTTTGAGTGCACCCGGATGGATCCGGAGCTTCTGGCAAACCTAAAAAAAATCGTGAAATCACATTTCAAGGACATATTTACTCGTAATGCACAAAGAAATACTCAACGAAAGTTCGAATTTGCAATTTAATATTGAGGATTTGTTCGAGAAAAAATATTATAGTAAGTTGACATGTAGATCCACGACCTATTGAATTATATAAAATGTTATTGATTGGAAGCTTTTTTGTTTGAAACGATGAAAGATAACAACAAAATAACTGTCACATTTGTTTTATGATATATATATATATATATCTGCAATTTCAATTTCAAGATGATGGAAATCACTAACACAATACCCGAAAGTACACAGGATATCTTTGAATTTTGTGACTTGATAATCCAACATTCTTTTTTGTTTATTTTGAAGTTGTTTTTCTTGGACTAGAAAAAAAACTACTACAACAGTGAACTCTATTTTTTGTGACATGTCGATATGTCCTGGAGATATATGGTTATAACCAAAATTATCATTTTTTTCTACATTTTTTAAAATTTTCAAACCGATTTTAAACATGAAGTGAAATCTTAATTCAAACTCAGAATCGATTAAATGGGTGAAAATACGAACAAAAGAAACATAGACCCTGGCAAAATTTTAAAAGAATAATGCCAAGTGTTCTAGAAGGATAACCGTCTTCTGCTTCATGGACGGCACTCTCCATGTAAATCTAACGATCAGAAATACTTAAGTTTTAAGTAAACATTAGTGCCATTTTCACTTTGCTATATTTAGAAATGTTCCGCAAGGCAGACCTTAACTTGTTTGGTTATCAATTCCTCCGTATTCCAGAAATGGTAACATTTTGCCTATTGTATATTTGGGAGAACGTACAAACAATGATATGCGCATAATCTGATAAAAAAAATAGTTCGATGCTAGTTCACGACTGGTAAATCTATGCTTTAAAGACGTGTTAAAGGTTTAATGGGTCAATGACCCTTGTATACTCACAAGGAATAAAGAAACATTACAAACATCTTTTGTTTTATATGTTTATTCTACTCGTATGACTACAAAAGACACCAGGTAATAACAGGTTTTAATACAAAATTTTGAGTTAGTTGAAATAGATCCTGCTGTCTTTCTAGGACCCGTCAGTGACGCTAAGGGCCTAAAGTTACACGACTATTTTGCCTTCAGCATACTGTCTTTTAAGAGTCTCCGAAATTCCTACACAAGTCGTTTGAACTATAAGCATATCATAAAATATGGATTTACTTTGAATTAAACATGCTTGTTTTGATAACTTGTTTAAACCCTAAACAAGGGCTTTGAATCATTAGAATTAATTTCGTTTGTTGAACTTTGACCGTTGTCAGTTCTCTTTTTATTTTTTTTAAATAATAAAAAAAAATTAACAAAGTAAAACTGTATGTAAAGTGTCACGTGTCTTGGTGCTTTTGTTGTGTGATCTGCACTGATCACTGCTACCTACCATTTGGCCAGCTGTTCCAAACGGTGGTTCTCATACAGTTGTCCAGAGTGTAATCGTGCTTGACGTTCGAATCAAGAAGCTCATCGTGCAAACCAAAACAGGTCATTCCACCAGAAAACCGACCCATCGTGTTTACAAATCCGCCGCCGAGACGGATAGTTCCCGGTGAATTGAAAGCCTTTTGAGGAGTAGAACTACTGTCGGCGGTCAGTGTGAAGCTATTTACCATGAAGACAAGTTTCCCAGTTGATGCTTCAACTCCTATTCCAAGAAATTGCCACATGTTGGCGACTATCTGATTCAAGCCGGAAGGAAACAACGTGGTTTCAGGCACATTACCACCTACAGTCTTGGACGCATACAGGTCACCATGATCCAGCCAAAACTTCAGTTCGTCAATCTTATCCGTACTGCATGTGTTGCTACGGTAATGGAATACAGTCCCGGATGGAGGGTCGACATCGGGAAACAGGTTGATACGAAAGGTGAAATCAGAATATTGCAAGTTTGAATGGATTGTTACACTGGGTATATTGACGTCAACGTAGGGTCGTGTATTTCCATTGAGGAGCAGAGAATCATGATTGTTGCCAAAGTACGAGAAGGTCTTTCCGAATCCGATGCCACACTGTTCGTTGTCTTGTGGAGTGTTTTGCATGACGTCATAAAGATAACCGTAGTCGTTAAGAAGGAAGTTGACAAGGGGGGTGCCTGATACCGGGGGTAAGCCTACAACACACACACAAACGACACGCTTGGTAAGGTAGTATAAAAAACCCATACTTACGTAAATGTATAGCTAGTATCAACGTAGTTGAACAGACGATAAAAAGGAATTACATTTTGTGATGTACATTACAAATGTGCTAAAATAAACCCCTCGTTACATTTTCACACATTAATTACATCGTATGATATTCTATCTGTGTAATGTTTTAAAAAACGTTGTTTATTGACTGACATAAGGATTTGTTTGAAGACTTAATGCCAGAAATATACCAGGTTGCGAAAGGACGACAAACATGAAAAGTCACCGCTTCATCTTTTTTCGTCTTCTTTGCTATCTGAGAGTGTGGTAATTTAGAAGTTTAAATTTCAATCTGTCTCTCATGAAAAAAACGACAGGACAAGAATTAGAATTAGGTACATTGTCGATTAACTCCCTTGCGCAAAATCAGCGAAATCACCGAGATTGAAAAATGAACCACTAGACAATGATGATTTGTAGTTATATAAAATCAAAAATTTAACTGTATGCTTACCTAATCCCCATGTTGTGAATATCAACACCACGTATACGTCACGACAGGCCGGTATTACACACATCCTGTCTAGAGAAGAAGTATTTGGATCACTGACTGTCACTTATAATACAATCATTAAACAATGAAATATACATTATCACTGTATTGGTGGGTCATATGACTAAAAAAAACCCGTCAGATAATTGGTTGATGCTACTAATCATTGTTCACCAATATGTGCTTAGCCATTTGTCAAACAGGCAGGAATTAATTGATAACCTATTGAGCCTGTACATTTTTACGGTAAGTGGACCGGATGAGCAGAAAACGTGTAAACATCGGGGTACATAACTGCTTTTTAATTGTTACCTCTAGTATTGTGTGTTTCAACTGCTTCACGGATGAACAAATCATATGTCAATATTTATTGAAATATATTAGTATTTGTTTATGATATCGACATACGACGATGGGCTTTGTTCTACATAATTAGCAGTGTCCCTAATAAATAGACAGGACTTATTCCGTTCATGAATAA